AGTTTATCATTATAGTATTTCAAGTTTTTGGTTATTCTAAGTTTATTTTTATCCATGCTTTCCGCTCAGGTTTCAATTGTTCAGTTGTAATTGCAGGGACAGCGATGTGGCTTTAAGCGACATGCCCATAAGTCCAGGGCATCCATGTTGGTACTTCATTAGTAGGTGTTTATGTGGATGTATAGGAGCTGGTATAAAAATAGGGAGCACAGCAAAAGAAAATAAATGTTAGATGATAATGTTTCTTTTTAGCCAACCATGCATTTAAATAGATAAATCACTCCAAAAAGTTCATATTTTTCTGTTTCACACATACCTTTCTTCCCAGTTGTGCTACATATTGGCTGCCTTCTCCTACCAAGCTACTCAAACCAAAACCAACAAACAGACTGAAAGCAAAAGAGAAGCAGCCTCATTCTTACCAGCTCCTCTAAAACTGTGTTTGCGTTTCCTTTCAGCTATACATTAATAAGCTAAGCAATAAGCTAAACATTTCCCGACTGTTGCCCAGAAAGAAAGCAAAGTGTACATATTGAGATATGCTCCCAGGCAGAAGTAACAGCTTGTCAAGGATGGAAAGCATTTAAATGGAAGGAACAGAACAGCAGAAAATGGGGATTAAAGATGGATGGAGTAGATGGTGAGCAGTGGCAAGGACAAATGACAGATGTTACTGTCAGAGGGGGGTTGATGAAAGGACTCCGTTCACCCTGAAAGAGAGGAATAATGGGAGATGACAGGGAGTGAAGAAATGAAAAGCTGGGGGATGAAGTAGGGCTCTCAGGTCACATATGGCAGTGGACACGGTCAATTTGGATTGTTTGTGTGGTGACTCCTTCATACAAAGCATAGTAAAGGTTACACAAATAGTCACGGGTATAGTCTTGGTTCTTTGTATTTGCCATACAGTATATACAGTATTTTTTCTGTGTATATAATGTTTGGATTCCTTGGCCCACTTTCCCGGGGCACAGGCTGGAAGCAGGCCAGCAGACCTGGTGCTGAGTGAAGACTGGCTGCACGTGGGGCTCAGTGGGAGAGTGAAGATAGAAATGCACACAGAGACACTGGACAGTGCATTTTGCTGAATGGCTTTAAAACCCCTGTAGAGCGGCCTCTTTTCCATTAGGCTCGGCCAGCTGTCGGCAGCAGCTATAACTAACTCCATACAATAAAGCTTTGGCACTGTGCTTATATCTTATACTAATAAAATGATAACAAGCTGTCACTGTTACTGTCTGAGGTAAACCAATCTCCTTGATTTATCTCCCTGATGGGGCCTTTATTCAAATTTTGCCACCTTGCCTTTTTAAAGTGCTGTTCTCTCTCATTTTTCCTCCTAACTCGCCACTATGAATTCTCATCTAAGTCCATATAAGGCGTGATCAAAAAGTGCTTGTAAAGATCATCATCTTGTGCAGCTCTGGACCATTTTCTGTACAGCTACTATTCTTCTAGCCTTTACATGTCCAGTTGTGTTTGGGCTTCTCCGATATGTCAAAACGTGATCATTCAATTTTATTTTCATTTTCAGGAAGTTGCGGGGAGGAAAATATGGCTAATAGGGCAGGTGGTGAACAAAGATTGTGTTGATGTGGGTAGAAAATAGGTTTCAGTGCACTCACAGCTGGCACCACCACATTTCAGGACATTTTCTGTGAGTGCTCCCCCTCAGACGTTGCAGTAGAACTCCACATTGACAGTTTCCCCCTTTACAGTACACAATGCTGTGATGAGCATGCTCCTGGCTCACATCATGTGTTGCCTTCAGGCTTAAAAAAACTCTGGACTCTTCAGGTTGAAACAGAAGTTGCTTTTTCCTCTCAGTGAACTTGCAGAGTGCTCAGTGTAAGTGGTTTGAACAGGGCTTCCAAGGAGCAATCTAAAAAAATGGCAGTGGAGCTGAAAGCTGTACAGACATGACACAAATTGCACAAGAAATGGAAATATTTTGAGGATATTCCTGTTCCAGTGTGTGGTGACTAAAACATCTCTTCTGTTTTGTACACTTTACTGGCAGAGTATTACAGGTATTGTTTGTATGTTTAGAACTGTGGCTTTCTTTGTAGTTATACATATCATTCCATGATGTCCTTCAAAGTAGGTTGTTTATCCTTGAATTATGTGTTGTGTAGCGTGTTGAAGTATCCCTCGTGTATATAAAATATATGGACTCGGCTATTTTAAATATTTTTCCTATTGTGCATCTTAGTTATGTTCACATGGTGTGTGTGTAAGTGCAAGTGGAATGTCATGCATAATAACTGGAGAAAGCTTGAAAAAGTGCATTTTGGGTAAACCTTAAATTTGAAACATGGTAATTGGACTGGTTCTTATATAAGGCTTTCCTACTCTACTGGAGCATGCAAAGCATTTTATACAACGCGCCTCATTCACCCATTCTCGCCCATTTATACGAGCACTTTTTTCTCTGTTTTTTGTCCAACATTCATTCTCTGATAAGCATAAAGCAACTTGGGGTTCAGGATCTTGCCCAAGAATACTTTGACATGCAGACTGGAGCAGCCAGGGACTGAACCAGCAACCTTTCAAATGAATGGATGGACTTTTTTTTTTAATGTAGTCATATTTTACCATTCTTGAATTTGGTATACAATGTACATAATATGTATAGATTGGATATATCACATCACTAAGGGGATTTTGGCTTGGATTGTGACTCTTAGAGTGGGTGTAAAAAGGATTTGGTTGTTATATAGGATGATCCAAACTGATCTAGAATAATGAATGGGAGATATCAGAGGTGAATAGGTGCACATAGCTCATTTTTAACCTTGAGCCAAGTTCAGTCCCCGCCTGATTTGAGCGGCGGCGGACTCTGGGATTGTCACCTCGGCTATCATAACACACATGCCGCTGTAGAGTTAAATATACTGCACACACAGGCACAAGATGCCACACATGCTGGAATTCACATTTGAAGCGCTGATGCAATGACTACCAAACAGTCCAAGTACTGGAAGGTGAATTACATGGAATAATTCCGAAATTAAGCCCACTGTTGGACACACAAGCATTTCCATGTTCAACAAACCAAAGAAAACTTTAAGTTGCTTTTTATTTAAAATAGCCTCCGGCTCATTCGTAGGTCTGCTCCTTCTGCCCTGAGAAGGATGACAGGTTCAAGGAGGCGGAAAAAACAAATGAACAAAAAAGATGAAAAGGGCAAAATGGAAATGTAGTGTTTTCTCTGTTCATTTTTTCCCCTTTAAGCGCTTGTCATGGGTCCAGGGCATTCATAAAGAATTTACCATGTGGCTAATTTTAGACCGTGCGGTGAGAACTCCTTCACTGAGCAAATCTGCATGTGAGAGAGTCATGATGTAGTAGATTGTGGCTTCTTCTGGAAACTGAGGTCATAAAGTTTCACTGCCATCTTGAACAGATGTGTGCAAAGCTCCAGATATTATTTAATGCTTGTCAGGATATGTGAGAATATCAATAGAAGCATAACACATGGGAGTAGTTGCTTAAAAAAATCTGGTCCTGCTTCTGCTTTCCAAACATCTTGGACACTTTTTGTAGTTCCCATAAATGGCTCCCAAATTGATTTCTTGGTCAAATGTTTCTGCTAGATTTGCATGCCTAAGGGTTTTGCACAACAGGCCCGAGGTCCTTTCATTCACAAATGCAGTTAACTGTTACATAAAGAAGCGCTCTGCCAACTGTGTCTGCATCTGATAGGACATAATACAGTGTAACGAGTGTGTTATTCACGCAGTGAAGACCACCCGGATTCTTTTCGTAGCATCAAGGAAATCCTCCAGGATGTTTTACACCATTCGATCCTCGCTCATGTTGGTAGAGGGTGTCACTCACTGTTGTCTAAGGGGGGGAGGCACTGCCAGGGCACAAAGACACACATGCACACAGGCAACAAATGCTGCACAGTCGCTATTGTACTCATGGACAAGAGCTTTCTTTGTTGTGGCATAAGAGCAACTAATGTCAAGACTCCTGTTGCCACACAGCGAGAATATCTCTACAATCCTTGGGACATGTTTTTAAGGACACAGTAAAGGCAATCTGGATAAAGAATAGGCTTGGATAAACTGTAAGTTAATGTGCATTTCCAGTCATTCTAGCAGTTTCTGTACATGGAACTGTATTGTTTATTTATGTGGTGGCTGTTGCTGCTCATATCTTCCTGTATTTATGCCAAACAAACAGGGCTCCGGGAAACATAAATGGCTTAACTTCCTGTGCACTACAAATAATTTCTTTGCAAGGAAACATCGACAGGAGACACAGGGCGTGTAGACCATCTTAAGGCCTTAAAGATCTGGGAACATTATGAATCCTGTGCTGTATTTGACTGAGAATCAAATCAATAATTTATTGTGCGGGGAAAAATGTCATGCTCACTTGTCTTAGCGTGTTATAAATCTTGGACTGTAGGAGAGCAGCTTCACATGATTCACAGCACAGAATAACGTTTTTTTTTGTTGTTTTTTTTTTTGTCTTCTAAGATTTAGCATCTTGGTTCCTTCTTTGACTTAGACAAGCTGCTTTAGCTCCCTCAGCCCTCACCTGTAGTTTGAGCCAACTCTATTCTGATTGGCTGCATCTTTAAAACAGAAGGTTTGAACAACTGGTTGGTGGGGTTGTTGTGGTCACATTTGAGGACTGAGATGGAAGAAAGTGCAATCACTGTGTTGCAGATGTTGTAGGGGTACCAGAGAGTTAGGAGATTTTTGGGGTTAGGGATTAGGATTAGGGATTGATTTAAAAAATGTTTCCATTTTTCCCTGTTTCAATCCAAAAGTCGAATAGTTTGGAATAAATTATTATAGATTAAAGGCACTGCACGGGCCAGTGCACATCACTTATAACTTCCCAGATGCTGTGTTGCTCACCAGAGGTCACATGCTGTCCATCATTAAACTATTGAAATGTGTTGGTTAAAGATCCAGGAAACTTTAAATCCACTTTAAAGTAACTGAGAGCCATTTGCTTGGTCTTCTCTCTCTCTTTTCCAGATGATGCAACCTAGATAGCAGCCTCGTCCTCCGCTCCACTCCCCCTCCCTGCCCCTTGGCCCCTTCCTCTATCTTCCTGGACCTGCACCGCCACTGCCACCTGTGTTACCACAGCCATCATGCCCCCCAGGAAGAGGACACGACAGGGCCTGGGCTTCCTGTGCTGCTTCGGCAGCAGCGAGCCCCCGGAGATCAACCTGAAGGACACCGTGCCACTGCAGCTGCTGGAGTTCAGTGCGCCCATGCCGCCTGCTGAGGAGCTGCATGCGCGTTTCTCCGAACTGGTGGTGAGTAAAGATAGATTCAACTTGATGAATGATTAAGTAAGCTGTTTTCACACTCACACAGGGCTGCCCTGAACTTTTCTAGGACTTCGTTTTGGATGTTAGTTTTTGTGATGCTGAATTGCGTTGATTTGTGAAGCAAGTAGGCATCACGTGCAGTGCCCCCTGCAGGCTCTATCAAGCCAGCATCCTTATCTAAACCAATATATAGAGTTGCAGGAGTACATCCTGATGATCAAGTGCAATCAAGGAGGGTGTTTCCTCTGGATGCTGCAATGCATTAGTCTTGCAAGCATTAAACGTCCAGGGGCTTCAGCAGGGGAGGAAAATTTATGAAAGTTTTTCACCTCTAAGCAGTTTGGAACTGAAGAAGCTTTTTGGATCGGAAATGAAACATCTTTAGAAAACTTAACAAAGTCTATTGTCCTTCTTATCAAGCTCTTAAGACTACCATAACCTGGATGACTGAGAACCTACACAGAAAACATTTATCCTGCTTTCAGACTGCTGTGCTTCCCATGTTTGTTTTTTGGTGGAGTTGAATTGGCTTTTAAAATCCCATGTAAAAACAGAGTGAAACACTGCTGCAGACAGTTCATGCACCAAATAGTAACATAAACTTATATATTAGTCTCCATGAAAGAGATTTGTGTGCTATTTAGTGGTTTCTCAGTCTCATGGCTGTTGAACAGAAGCCTTGCCCTTCTCCAAACATTTTACAAACTGGATAGTTTAAAGTGAAATCACATCTGTCATAAGAATTAATCCAGGATTTGTCCAGCCCAGTTCTTTTTCTTTTCCTGCTGCTCATTATACCAAACAATACGAGATCAGTGTCTCGAATTAGAAGGGGATTTCTTACAGAGGATGCCTTGATGGTTGGGTGAGGCCATGTCTCAATCGCCACTACAAATTCAGAAGCTCATCCTCTCCAGTATGCAGCCCACTCTTGCACTACAGTCCCTATCGTTGTTGGCAGAGGTTGATGTCTGGTCTCTGTGCCAGACTAGGATAACTGTACTTGCATGTGCCCATGGTGTGGACATGGATCAGGTCACAACTGCGTCAGTGGAGAAGGCTGCTGTTCGTTTCAGCTGCCCTGCAAACAGGTCATGGCTTTACAGCTTTGCTGTTTCTGTCTCTCCATTTGCTCACTTCCAGTCTCTTGGTTGGTTTTGTTCCTGTCTGCCTCCATCACTCTCCTCAGATTTCCTGCTTCTCTCTGTCTCCCAACAATGTGTTGACTGGTGTGGCCACAGGACTGCTTCTGGCACTGCTGAGTGTTTGGGAATGCTAAACTTTACTGCCTGCAGGATATATCACTCCACTGTTAAATTCAATTCAGGGGATCAATGGAACTTCCGTTTATGATAAGAAAATTATTCAAGCTTATCAAAGCAGATGTTTCCCCCAGTAGTGATTTTTTTTTTCAAGCTAACTCACAGCATTATGCCCTGAATTTGTTCTTTAATAATGCATGAGCCATTAAAGCTTAGCTGCCTGTAGCTGCAGCATATTTATTGGCTTGATTGATGAAAATTCAAGCTTAAAAGCAATCAAGACACTGATTATCTCAATCAGGAGAGAGAAAAGCCTTTCATATTATACAGCTGTGAGGTCAACACAGTAATTTCTGAGGGATTAACAGGTTGCCCTTTGATATGCTGTACATGGCCGTACAAAAAAGTACTTAAACAAATTAGGCTTTGACATTAACGAAACCTCTTTAATGCCAGCAGAGACCAGTATTTCTGGGGTAAATTAAAAACATGCCGTCATATGGGAGCACTTAGCCAAATCATGGCAGTTTTTATGGTTGATAGGACTAAGTGACCCACAGCTTATTGTGCGGTAAATATTTCAGCTAAAAATGAAACTTACAGATTGATGTGCTGAATGAGAAGTAGGGAGGAAAGATTCGTCCCTGAGTTTAAAACCACTTGACTAGTTCAGAAAGATGATTCAGGGTTTTCTCATCGGACCAGGGCTCGTCCACTTTTGAAAAAACTGTAGTTCAGATAGTTGTTAGAGGGCCACTTTTGATGGCCTGTTTGTGCCTCACTGTAGGTTTCCATAACTAGATGCAACACTTAAAAATGCTTTGTGCAACAATGCAAATTACATTTTTTATGTTAGACACTTTTAAATTGGCAACATTGGCACATTACTTGGGGCTACAACCCCAATTTGAGGCAAGTGAAGTTATAGCATCTTTGAACAAATATGTTAATAAAATAAAAATGTATTTAACCGACTAGCATTTCTGATACCACCTATAAAGAGCAGCAATATTTGAATGCAAGTCGACTACTGTGCAGATCTCTAATTGAGAAAAGGTGCTGGATGATGAACAGAAACTTTACATCCTAGGATTTTCCAGGAACATCTAGCCTATAAAAGTGTCTGCAGGAAATTCTTAGGTAGACAGTCAGGGAACACGTTTTTTTTTTTTTTAAAGTTACTCTTCACATATTAGCAGTAAAGAAGCAATTTACACATGAAACTTGTGTTGTAGTTGTGCACACAGTAGCTTTAATATTTAGAATGTCTTAAAATTCAATAAAGAAAAATGATGCTCCAAAATAATGATCCCTCAGCCTGTAATAGCTGGATTCATGTCTAGTCTGACCAATGTACGACTGATTCTACCTAATAATGTTCATCTGGGTGAGCTATTGGTTCTGCACATCTGTTTTACTGATCCAGGAACCGACATGCTGACACAGATTTAACTGGGCATCCAAAAGTCTGTAGTACCAGACCTCTTGGAGTCAGCCAGCCCGGACACACTGATTGTTACTCAGGCAGAGAACTGATGTGGAGAGAGGTGGACGGACCTATGTTGCATGGTAGGAAATAAAGAAAAATGAAGAAAAACATAACATAGTATGTTTCTGTGGCAACGGGCAATGGGGATTATTGTTAAATGAAAGCCTTTCCTGAGAAGGAGAATGAGACTCAATGGAGCCTCTGGAGTGGGAGCGACAGATCTGGGCCAAACGGAGGAGTAAACCACCTCCATGTGTCCTCACATTCATAATGGAGTCTTCTGCTGTGTCGAGAGACACGCGGTGCACACTCGGCTTACAGTGTGTGTGTGTGTGTGTGTGTGTGTGTGTGGGGAAGGAAAAACTTCAGCTGACTTTTGGACTGCTGTCCAGTTTTGGATGACAGTGGACTAGAATAGATATAACAGACGTATAACTGTGGCGATGAACCCTATTACCTCTTATGACATGAACAGTATTTTGGCCACTGTTGAAAGAAACGATATGAATTTGTGGCATTTCAAACCTACAGTATCCATGCCTACTTTCAGCAGCAGAATGATGTAAAAATATAGCAAATTATGCACAGTTTAATACTGTACATGCTGACATCTCTAAGGAAATATGAGAAAATATTACTAAAAGGCAACTGTACTTATTTTTGTAATATGAGACTGTATTTTTCCTTTGAGTGCAGAGACTTGTGATAATAAAATACAGTAAATTTTTCAAGTTGTTATTAATATTTTTCTCATGTACAATATTTAACTGTTTACAAAAAAATATACAAGAAGCTTCTCTGCAGTTTTTTTTTCTTTTTTTTTTCTTTTTTATAAACACATGAGAATAACAACTCATGCAAGTAGAGTTTAGTTTTTGTAAATCCAACAATGTGCTTGGAAACATTCCTCAGAGATTTTTGTCCATAGTGAAATGATAACATCACATAGTTGCTGCAGGATTGTCGGCTGCACATCCATGATGAAAATTTCCTCTTTCACCACATCCTATAGGTGCTCTAGTGGATTGTGGAGGCCATATAAGCACAAAGTCTTTGTCATTGTCAGTAAACCAGCTGATATGACATGACCTTTGTGACATGGTGCGTTATTCTGCTAGAAACGGCCATCAGAAGATCTCATGAGATGAGCATTGTTGTTGACCACATCCATCCCTTTATCACCTCAGTATACCCAAGTACAGTAAGAAGTAATGCTGTGATGCAGGCAAGGGCTCATCAACTCTCCCAAAGCCATGTTCAAAGTCACTTACATTACTTTTTTTCACCATTCTGATGCTCAGTTTAAACTTTAGCAAGTGATCTTGACCATGTCTATATGACTGAATTCACTGTGTTGCTCACATGTGTTTGGCTGGTTAGATATTTACATTAACCAGCAGTTGAACTGGTGAGTATGGCATGTATTGGATGATTATGTCACTTATTTTGTGTTAAGACTTTGATGTTGTGTTTGTGGGACTGCCTGCCAAACAACAAATAATCAAGTGAGACAAGGGTTCATAAACCCTGGCAAATCTGACTGGGACGTTTCTTACAGTCTTTTTTTTTTTTTTTTTTACTTTATTAGAAGCCTCTGCCAACATTCCTGCTGTTTCATGATAAACGCAGGTGCTTGGTAATGTAGAAAAACAGAGAAGACATATTGTCTCCAGTTTATAGCTCACTAAGCTAATTTTTGCAGAATAAGCACATGTGGGATCCATCCTTGGTTACCTTGAGTAAACACGGACTCTCCTTTTTGAAATGTGGAACATCTCAACCCGGAGAAAGCCTGTAGGAAAAAAAACGTTTCCAAGTCTCTCATGGAGCCTCCTGTTCATGATGAAAAACTCAGCAAACTCATGCAAATGAACCTGGAAGCAATCCCCATGGATTCTGACACAATAAGTAAAGACCACATCTGAAGGGACTAATGGATCACATCAGTTAAAGTACACATTTGCAGCTGGCTGCACAGTTTCCTGATAGCAAATGCGCTGCAGTTCTGGGTTCTGTTTTTTTGGATCTGGGTGCATTTTAAATGGCTTTTTTCCACCAGTGCTTCAGGACTCTCACGCATAGTTGATATGTAGGCCATGTGGGTTGTCTGGCTGCGCACCAAAAACATTGACAGCTTTATTTTTGTTTATCGGGGCAATTCTCCGCTAACAACTTTTTATCAACAAACTTGAAATTACTCTCGTATTTGGGTAATTGAAAATGAGCTCTCCCTA